CCAGGCATAGATTCGCGGGGTGCTATAAGCAGCAGCCACAAACAGTTCACCCTGTTTCAGGCAGATTGTGCACGAGAACTGTACGCACAAGCCATCTTCGCTACGGTAAGCGTGTACCAGTCTCCCGCACAGCGAGGACCGAATGTATAACAGCACACCGCCTCGATCGTCTGACAGTCTGTTGCACCGGAACTACGAGTGGCAACTGATCTGAACTTCTTGGCTAGTATCCTCGGGATTTCATCGTGTTTCGGCCAGTCCTAGTACGGCCGGACGACGTGAGGCAACGAACTGAGGCAAAGAAGGGAAATACATCATCACGTTTGTTTATTAAATTACAAACATTTGTGAAGGCTATGGGCGGACTGCGGTAGGAACCAGCAGACAGGCAGGAAGCGTCATCGATCTATTGATTCGGGTTCGGCAACCCGGGGAACTACCCGAAAATTTACAATGTGGAGATTGGTTTCTCCACTATCAGTCCGCCGCTTCAACTCCACGATAGCAAACTTTAATTTCTGTCTGTCGGACGGATCCAAATCGGGACCAATATGGATCTTTAGATCTCTTAGCCTACCGAGGCGTGATAGTATCAGCCTCGGTCTCGTTGCATCAACGAAGGTGACTCGCAGAGGTCGGGATTTACTCTCCTCTCTCTTGCTAAGACGGGTGATCTGCTTCACCCGCAACCCCTGTTCATTCACGCCAAGAAGCCTATTAATCAGGCTCCGCAGAAAATCCACGTTACGGTCATGACGAGCTTGAGAACTAGCATCAGTACACTCAGGCGCGCGAAATATTATAGTTACAATACCGCTGATTGCTAACAGTTGTCTTCTCCTTTTAGCTTCGCTGTATTCTCCAGTGGTCATCATCGCCTGCACTATCGCACACCGGTATGTTAGTGTCCGCATGATGCAACACACGCACACCAGCTGTGCGTCCGGCAACGGATGAACATCGCGCTGGAGAGCCTGCAACCAGTGTGCGGGTGGGCTCGTTCGAACTTAGAGGTGGCTGGATTTCCGCTTGCTTGGTTGAACCCACGGAGCCGCTCCCAGAGTTGAGGTACCTAATAATGAGCAAATTCGTTACAGATGAAATCTATCGTTTCAAACATATGTACATTCGTGAACACTGAAGTAATCACGAAGATCCGTTGGGACTGTTCATAAACATTGTTACATACTTCCATAAGTCGGATGAAGAATAATCGTAAACATTTGTTTACTTAGATTTATTATCTTAAAACAATGGAACGACGGAGCATTAAGCGTAGGTGTTTAGCCAGAATGCGAACCACAATATGGATAACAGAAAACAGTGATAAAATGGAAGACGAATTAGTGGACTCACTATGGTGTTTAATCAGAGGTATGCATAAAAGACAAGCACATGCGGTAAGTCTCTATTTTATGCATTGTTGTTACTCGCACAAAGTTACTATTTAACTTATAGTCTAACCTACCACTTTTGTAACCAGTCTCGATTTAAACGGAACTAATATTGGCACGAGTAATTTATTCCAAATGACACAGTATAGGTAATAAATTGATGTGAGCTGAAGGCCACATTAAATAGTTTTTTGAAAATATCCGAAGTAGGGAAAACAAATGAGTTTGGGAGAGAATTCCAAGGTTGGCAAACTGGAAGAGAAAATAATTTAGTCGGCATTCCAGACGGCTGTTATGGTTGTTTGAGCAAGTGACGGTATACATGGTTAGGGAGACACAGTAGTTTGCGTACTAGTACCGCTGCGTAGTCATCCGTAGCGTCCGCTGAAAACTCCCAGTGACATCGGCCTTTGCTGGCAGATTGTGTGGACCTGTGACGTTCTTTGTTGCCCTGTGTTAAGGTGCCTCTGGCACCTCTAGGTCGAGCTTCAACTAAGGTTGCCAACCTTGGATAGCGCTTTCAACGTTAGGGCGCGTGTAAGAGTTATGCATCATCAGGACGTTAGGTGGGTCAAAACTCCCGAATGCCCTCCGCAGCAGGCCGCAGCTGCTTCTGCCAATCTTGAACAGTTAAAGTCAATTTGTATGATCACACCAAGGTCGCGTTCATGGGAATTAGTTTGCATTATGTGTGACTCAAGCCAATACACGTAACGATGCATGTGGCGTAGTTGAAATACGTGACATTTTCCATACTGAATGGTAGGGTATTTTGAATTGGCCAGTTCGAAGTCGTGTTAAGTTCACGCTGGGTCCTTCGTGGTCGTCCCGTCGCTCGTCATTCCTTAATATCACCAGCGAAGAATAGGAAATAAGAAATAACTGTCCTTTCTAGATCGTTTGTGATAAAGAAGAAGAAGCGTGGCCCTAGCACTTAGCTTTGTGATACACAGCAGCGTACGTTAAGTGCTTCGGAAGGGAGTTCCCGTACCCTAACCTCCAACCAGCGTTCATGCAGGAAGTGGCATATCTAACGAAGGCGTTGGTAGCCAATGCCATATTTCTGAAGTCTACGATGGAGAATGCAATGGTATAAGCAAACGAACCGTTTTGTGAAGTCCAGACAGATGACTTAGACCCATGCTCCACTATCAACTTCATCAGCCCAGCTATTGTGTACAACTATCATGTTCGTAGTAAGGGTGCTTTTGGCAGAATACTGGTCGCTCCAGCGCTACTATGTTATGGTTTTCCAAATATTGCATCAGCCCATCTGTGATAATATAGAAGCAAATGTTGGTAGCTCAGATTGTTCAGTTGGTGGACTGAGTGTTCGCTGAGCTCGGCAGTTTGGTTGCAAACCTTTCGTCACCACTCGAGGTGACATTGGCAGTGCGCGTTTACGAAGCACAGCGGCGCGGAAGGCACAGGAAGTGGCGTTATCGGACGGTAATTGGTATGATCAATGCGACTAAATCCATTGGGAATAGGAGTGATGATGCTCGCTTACATATTGGTGGAATTTGGTTCTCCTCCAGAAAATGGTCAGAGGTTCAGCTAGATCACTGGCTGCTGCTTGTAGAGCCTTCCACTGAAGGACATCGACGCCAGGAGAGCTATGGGTACACAGGGATAACAACCTCCTAAACACAATTTCTATGGCACAGGTGATATTAGACAAACCTGACAGTGGGACTATAGAAACAGGATAATATTTTCACCAGTTACACTCCGGAACGTATGTGAGTAAGGTAAAACTAAACGATCGGCTGCTTCCGTTGCCGATCGCTTGTACCGGTCAGTGGTGACTAATGCTGGAATTCCGAATTGCACCTTACTAAAGCCATTAACATGCCTATATAACAGTTACCGATTCATGCAGATTCGCTTCATTAATCCCTGCTGATACGTCACCTTGTACTTGCGGATCAATTTCATAAGAAACTTACGCTGTGCCACGTTTGTAGTCCAGGTTTCCGCATTCGGAGAGTCCTCATTAGTCATCCATATCAAGTCCCTTTAGGATATGCCTTACTAGTTCTGCTCTTCAGAAACGACTTTCCTCTGCCTCAACGATGGAAGGACTTCTGTGCAAGTGAATTGGTATAGGACATAGGATTCGAACAGGGCCGGAATTCTGTTTTTTAGGCGGTTGGTGATGAGCGGAATGGTCTCGGCGTGAATGCGGACTCTGGCGACTGGGTATGTTTGGTTTATTGCAGAAGTCACTTTCCTACTCAATAGTTCGAACTGTATGTCTCCTTTGAAAGGCACTGAGAGGAAAGCATCTTTCCATCTCACGGTCATTTTCGGCTCAGATTCAGCTCGGAGCTGGGAATGCTTGTTAATGAAAGCAGTTGGGTACCAGTTGCTTTCCACTGTCTTGAGTATGAAATTCTTTTCCGCTTCTAGTGTCTCAGAGTTGCAAATCCTTGTAGCCCGATAATACAGGCAACGTACCAAGTTTCGTTTTTACTTTATCGGTACGAAACTATGGAAGTACAGCTTACTGCCCGTTTTAATCTCGCAACTGAATTTCAACGATGGGTGCGCGTTGTTAACTTGATTCAACAGGTGAACATGATCAGTATGAGAGTCTCAAACAATAAACGTGTCATCCATGCATCGTTGGTGATGATTAAGGGATGCGCTTAAGTGGTACCATCAGAAACGTCTACGGCTCTACCCTAGAACATCTAGTAGATAGTGGACAAAAAATACAAACAAAAGTGGCCTACAAAATTCTCTATGTAGCAGCAAAAGGCCGCAAAAATACTCAGGAAGTGTCCACTGGCCACGGAAGAATCAATAGCGATGAAGCAACTGAAGCCGGAACGGTGTAAACAGCGTACACTTATGCAGAGTTTAACCCTACCGTTGCCTTAGCCTGATCCCCTGACTTCTGGCATAATGGTCGATGGTAGTGGATTCAACTAGACATATATTGCTACTGTTCATCCGATCGCAGCATCCACGACTTTGTGTCGCATCACAATAGCTAATGTACAAATGGTTATGAAGCTCATAATTGTAATTTCCTGAAGAGATTTAGCGAAAAGAAATTTCTTTGAAATTTCCTTTTGACATCAGAACGGACAGAATTTAGCCAACACTTGTTTCTGCTTTTCTATGAGAGTAGCTATCTCTAAAATCACCGCTAAAACATTTTGCAGCGGATTTCTCTTGTGGATTGTGTTGAACCTCATTATTGCGCTTTCTTTACTGATATCTCCAATAGTGCAAAACAAATAAGGTATCGCCAGCTAGGCCCTTCCAAATCAATAACTGCGAATCGTTACTACAAAGCCCCAGAGTGTAGTACACGTATATTGGCACCCCTACAAGAGGAAACCGAATTCTCTATGTGAGGAAGGATTTGTATCACAAAGGAGGATCTGCTTCCTCCCCGAAGTTGCACAGAACGAATTCCAGTATTTGATAGAGTAAACGTAAAGTGTCAGTAATCTCCTCCTTTTCTGTGAAATAATTATTATAGCAAGAAAAATGTATTATTTTTGATTAGTGGAATAAAATGATGGTAGCAGTAGGAGGGGAAAAAGTCAACGAACACTGGTTCATTAATTCACTTGAAATAGTTTGTCTTACCTCAAAAGTATCTCCTTCTGTTTTAGCTATATGACATTCTTTTGTGAGGCATGTAAGTTTGCGTGCTCCATCAGATGTTTCATGCTTGAAATTCGGAAAGTAAGAAGCTATCATTATCGAAGTTGAATAGTCGTTTAATTCAGTACACTTATAATTTGGACTGATTACGATGAAAAGGTAGCGTAACTGCTGTCTGAATTTGCTGTCTAACAAAACTGGATAATAGGTTTCATTTACTTATCAATCGAAAGCCCTCTTTAGTATTACTCATCAGTAGGATGCGAACGCATGTGAATTTATCACACTGCGCCTGTGCACGCTGCCAATGACCTAAAGCACGTACATCTTTTTCAATGTTAAATAGAAATATGTGGGCTAACGCGTATCGAACGGGGCTCTTATCAATCTCAAGAACAATGTTCTTTTACATCGCACTTATCCAACGGGGTTCGGTGGATCAAATTGTAAAGTCCAGCCATGTTAGTATATCAGGAAACTGCGTAGTGATTATAGACAGCAAGTGAGTTTGTGAAGTTTGATAGCAGTTACCAGGGGTGCCACTAGCGACGGTCAAGCCATCGCTTGTTTCTACTAGCAGAGAGCACGCATTTCAGACGTGTGCGAGACCGCAGCCCATCGCAGTCTGCTGCGCAATGCCACTATAGCTAGGAACCCACAATATCGTGACGTTGGATTACCACGTCATAGTTAATGAGTAACGCCTTAGTTAATGTGGTGTTCGTATGAATGTAGCAGATGGATTTGCATCTTGCGACCACAACAAGCGATACTACGGGGAAAAACGTCATGCACGCAGTAGAGCATGGTTTACAATTCATACACTTAACGGTCCGTGGTATACGACAGCATAAATTAGTTTCGGGAATTTTCCAAAAACAATTGAAGAAATGGTCTTCAGTAATCTGCATTTTGTGTTAAATGTCCCCATTAAGTAGATTAACGGAAGCTATGGAAGAAAGATATTTGCTTAATAATAATATGGGGATTGCCGTGTCTGCTGTACAATGCACATGAACTAGAACTTATTGGATCCACGAAAGAAGATCATGTGACATTTGTCGATAGTGTGACAAAGTGATTACTCAACTGGCACATGCATGCACATTAACTTGCGAGCAATGCATAAACCATTTTCTTGCATATTTACAAGGGGCAGCATGTTAAGTCTACCTTGGCCAGAAACCAACCGTCCTGCATTGATAATAAACTTTGAACTTGGATGCAAACTAGTACACTGTTTTTGATACAATTCCAACCTCCTAAACAGCCGTATGACCTGTACGGCATGTTTCCACAGTTCGATTAATGCATTACGTACGGTATGTATCGGGTACTCAGAATGGCTTTCTTGTAACAGCTATACAGAAGCTGATGGGAGCAATCAGTTATTGCTATGATGCCGGTATTGATCTAGTGCGTCAAATGAACCAAGCGAAGCTATATTAGTTAGTCGCAGGCAATTCTCCAAGAAGCTAAGCGCGGTTTAATACATGTTCTACTAAAAGAAAATGGCATACAAACACCGCTTACCAAGTAAAAACGCCATCTATATTGATAATGTGCATCATTATTTACGGTGCCTTAATAACACCTTTTACCTACCCGAATCCAGATGGTTAAAATAGGACGGATGAGTCTGCCTATGTGTAAACTTCACTCCTATCGACCATAAGTTGGTGGACTTATATATGCGCACGTCCTAACCGGCGTGGCTAATGTGTCAAGTAGTCACTGCCGATGAACAATGAAGTTATACGGGTTGAGAAGCGATGCTTTACATGTCCAATTGGGTAAATTTGCAGCGTTATCGAGAATAAAATGCAGTAGGTTATTTACACTTAAAAGAGGGACTTCGCCTTTGTTTCGATATGGCCCTGCGATCCGTGTAGTTTCACATCTCAAACATGTAACAACAAATAAATACAAAGTAAATCCCAGGAGTGGGATGGAGATGTAATACTAGGTAGCAAAGTGTAGGTGAGTAAGTGAGTCATCCGAACGTCTTATAAAGATGGATAGTTAGGGTACAGAAAAGGACGATTCTGGAAGAGCATTCCTGGATGACACATGCGCATGAAAAAGAAATTTCTGCGGCAATCCACACGGCAGTACCGTTTTACCAGTTTTCGCGAATGATCTCCCAATTTGCTATTACTGCTCAGTTGCAGTAAAGAGCGGCACGCATGGTGTGGATAGTGCAGAATTAAACGCATCATTATCAAGTCACCTAGTAGGCGGCAGTAACGTGCGCTGAATAACCCCAGTCGATTCAGCCTTTCCTCATGCACTCTAATAACGTACTTTGGTGCTCGACGTTTGGGCTGTTCAAGTAATTAAAGCTCATGTTTTAGCCATGGGTGCCAGGCATGAATTGCATCTTTAATTTGAGGACGAACATAAGTACTAAGCGTTTGGTAGAAAATCGAGCGATCTGGTTGTCCGCAAGCCTGTCGTAACAGGCCCACATGTTGGGTACCAGCATTGGAGACTAGCGGATTGCCTGGAACAATCCATCGTTTCCTGAACCAGTACGCCCAAATCATGTTCGGTGGCAGCTAGCTGCAGCACAAGCTTTCTGAGCCTGTAACAGTGGTTGCGCTGGTGTCGGATGATAAGCACCTTGCAGTTACTCACATTGAAATGCAGTGCATTTTGGGTGGGCCACTGATGTACCTGGTCTGGATCACTCTGAAGCAGTTTCTGGTGAGTATTTGCCTGAACCTTGCGCCAAATCTTGACGTCATCGGCAAGCAGCAGGAAGTTAGATGTACTTGCCTGTGTGAGGTCATTGATAAATACCAACAACAATCAGGGACCTGGCACCGAGCCTTGAGGCACACCACATTCAACATGTATGGGATCGAAGTAGGAGCTCAGAAACCTGATCACCAATTGCCGGTGAAGGAGATAGTTAGCGAACCAGTTTAGAAGGCGGTTACCGATCCCGTAACTCTGTAGCTGGGAAAGGACTATCCGATGATCTAGACAGTCCAATGCTTTCAAGAAATCCAGCTAGACCACATCAACATCCTTCCAATCGTCGGCTGACTGGGTCCAGTTAATCCGGGCTATTAGTAAATTCGATGTACACATACGTGTTCGACGGAAACCGTGCTGCTCAGAAATAATAAGGTTAGAGTTTTTCAAATAGCCCACCAGCGCATCGGTTATGAAAGATTCCATCACCTTGGACAGTATAAGTAGAAGGGAAATTGGGCGATAGTTTGCAACCTCGGTTCTGCTTCCACCTTTGTGAATGGGTGTTACTATTCCAAGCTTCCATATGACACGAACTGGGTTTTGATATAAGCAGTGCTGAAAGAATTGAGCCAATCGCCCTGTCCGTTGACTTGTTGTGGCTTCCAGTGGGTCTGAGCGATTAGTATCGACACCCGGGGATTTGTGCTCACATAGAGTGGTCAGTTTCTACAAGAAAGCTTCGGTGGTAAAGGAGATGTGAGTAAA